GCGTTTCAGTAGCGGCGAATCACAGATGCTAATCCGTTGCGTCAAATGAATTTCCTTTAACTGGTGAGGGATCCATAAATCAAGTTTCTTGACATAACCAAGGGGTTTTAATTTTTTTTTTCAATGCATGTATGCGACACATTGAGCTTCTCTGCAATATCTCGTGTTGTGCTGTGACGATTTGAATCGATAATGGCCTTGATATGGGTTTCATCCACTTCGACTGGGCGGCCAGATCGTTGTGAATTTTTCAGTGAGAAATCACCGGAACGAAATCTTTCAAACCAATTTCGACACTGCCTTTCTTTTAAGGCTTCATCTCCATATACGGCACATAACTTCTTTTGTGCTTGCGATGCGTTCTTGCCTTTTCGGAAGTAATACAATAAAATGTGTCGGAAGTGCACGTCCTGTTCTTTCATTTTTAAATTGGGATAAAAACAAAACTAAAGAACTAAACAAAAAATTTTTTACTAATTAACCTAGAAGCCCATACAGTAAGAAAAAATATAGGTTAGATGCTCTGGCCACGTTAACAAAACAAAAGAAAGTATAGAGTGAGTCTGTCAACAAAAACGGCAATGACTTAGTTGCCAACCCAATACCTGCAGAATGATTAAGGTGGGGTAGTTGAACAGAGAGATCAGTATGTCATGTCTAGATCAATCTATTAGTCATGAATTGTCGTGACTCCTAGGGGGAAGGGGGGTGTGCGATGATGAGGCGAAATGAAAGCCTTCTCTCACCATGTGTAATCTTTATTCTTCTTATTCCTGGTTTCCATCTTCAAACATCCTATAGACTATATGCCCCTTCATATATTCTTGCCCTGTCAATACGAAGTGTCCTAATTAAGATCTTTTTGCACAATGGTACTTAGACATATTCACTTTGGACCTGAGTAATGGAAACGAAGCTTTCGTATTCGAGCTTCGTCCATTGTCACGATCTGTGGATATATAGCTTTTAGGGATAGATAGAGAGTTTAGTATACAATTTTGAGCTCACGCCAACCTAATCATTTATCTTCGCTTTCCAATTGAACATTAATAATTTGCATATGCAGTGTTGCACGAAGAAAGTGTATATTAGCAACCAGCCATAGTGACCATTTGTGCTAATGCAGTACTTACAACCAACGACACAGTTATCTATTTTGAAAATAATGAAGAGAGTGGAAATTTCTCCATTAAACATTGTTATAAGCTGATGGTTTATTCCTGGTGTTCATGTCAGGTTGAGCTCATATATAGCAACTTTCGGGCTATATGATAGTCAACAGTTGACTATGGGGTTTATAGAGAGAGGAACATCAAAGTCACATAATGTCGAGTGGAGGGGTAACAGAGGAGTGGTTCACAGATGTAAAAGAAACAGGCAGAAACAAAGGTAGAGAAAAATGTAAGGTGTATACCGTGGAAGTGGTCAAATATGGCATACGATGGGGTGATGGTAGTTTGAAGTCAGAAGTCAACTGCCGGTTTATAAACCTTTATGTTGTATGAGTATACGTTGCCCAGGGTGCACCACATGGAGATGAATCTACCACGCACTCCATTCTAAAAAATCTTAATGGGTTCATTTGTAGATCAGCAATAAAATAAATGTCAATATCTGTTGATGCATTTTTCCAATGCAAACGGTTATTTCAGTTATTCCAATATTACTATGTCATTTGGAAAGTAAGAGTTCAGCTTTCAGTTGACGGTGGTTCATTCAAAATCATGATTACTTTATTGATTACCTATAAATACAAAATAATTGCTTTTGTCTCCAATCCAGTATGGTATTTTCCAATGATCGATATTCACAGGGAAACAAAGCCCATAAATCTCTTCAATTTATATTTCAGGAAAATGTCGTGATCCGTGAGATGGAAGAAGAATTAGTCAAACTGAAACATCAAGCGCAGTTATTTGAAGTTGTTCTATCCGAATATCGTCAATTGTCAAGTTGTCGTCGTGAACTTCGACTACTAAAAAGTGTCTGGGACTGGGTAGTTCTCATTCGTTCAACCATCTCTGGGTGGTACAATACGCCTTGGCGTCGTATTAGTGTCGATGAGATGGAATTCACTCTAAAACAGTTCTCAGTCAAAGATTTGAGACGTTTAGATAAGATAGCCCGATCGTGGCCTGTCTTTCTCGGTATTGAGGGTGAAGTTCGCAATATGATGACTTCGTTAAGAGCTGTAACTGAACTTCAAAATCCCGCAATTCGTGGACGACATTGGTCGCAGTTAATGGCAACTACGGGTGTTCGTTTTGAGATGAACGAAACCACTGTCCTTTATGATCTTTTGAGCTTGAACCTCCACAATTACGAAGAGCAAGTCCATACTTTGGTTGATAAAGCGATTAAAGAAGCCTCGATGGAGAAAATCTTAAAAGAACTTGATCAGACTTGGGGACAGTTGTCTTTTGAGGTGAAAGAACATTCTAGAAGAGATCTAAAACTCTTCATCGTCAGTCAGGAAGCGGTTGAAGTACTGGAAGAGAACCAAGTCCAACTTCAGAATATGACTACCTCCAAACATATTGATTTCTTCCGCGATCAGATTACTGAGTGGCAAAAGAAACTTACAACTGCTGACTACATTATTGGCTTGTGGTCAGAAATTCAAGAAACTTGGTCTTACCTTGAAGCTATATTCCTCAGCTCGGAGGATATACGAGAGCAGCTACCAGAAGATTCAAAAAGATTTGACAAGATTGATGGAGAATTTAGAAAAATAGTCGAAGATTTTGAGAGGAAGGGGACGAATATCATAATAGCCACTCATATTATTGGCTTGGCAGAACGACTTGAAAGGTTGAAAGATGATTTGGCTTTATGTGAAAAGGCTCTAGCTGATTACCTGGATACCAAACGTCTCGTATTTCCACGCTTCTACTTCATTTCACCGACAGATCTCCTTGATATTCTGGCTAACGGAACCGAGCCTATTAAAGTCATGCCACATTTGCCCAAATTGTTTGACAGCATTGCTGGTCTGGATCTGAAGCCAAATTCAAAGACTGCCATAACTATGAAAGCAAAAGACGGGGAGTTAGTTAAGCTCTCGAAAGAATGTTCCCTTGAGGGGAAAGTCGAAGTTTGGCTTAATAGAGTTCTGGATGAAATGCGAGCAACTCTACTCTACAATCTACATCAGTGTGTGTCCAATTTTGAGGAAAAACCTCGAGATCAATGGATTTTTGATTATCCCGCTCAGATTTCGTTGGCAGGCTGTCAGATAGGCTGGGCAGCAGAGGTCAATTTGAACTTCGCTCAGCTAGAAGAAGGATATGTGAATGCCCTGAAGTTCTTTAATAAGAAGCAAATCACCCAGCTTAACGCTCTGATAACCCTACTAACAGGAGAGTTGAGTTCTCAAGAGCGTCAAAAAGTGATGACCATATGTACAATTGATGTCCACAATCGAGATGTGGTTGGCAGACTGATTTCAGAGAAAGCAACCGAAAGGGGTGCTTTCTCGTGGCTCAGTCAATTGAGACATCGATGGGATGACACCCTGGGTGATTGCTTTGCCAATATTTGTGACGCGGAGTTCCGCTATGCATATGAGTATTTGGGAAATACGCCCAGGCTGGTTATCACTCCTCTTACTGATAGATGCTATATCACCCTCACTCAGTCTCTGCATCTCACAATGTCTGGGGCACCCGCTGGTCCAGCTGGTACTGGTAAGCATAGTTTCACCCCACCCCAACCCACCCCCCATTATAGTTCATTGAAATAAACCCCATTGATTTACTGAATGATCATTTCACATGCTAATGGAAATATAAATGAGAAGGATGCAAAACTTTGATTTGTGGTAGACAATTGTATTCAGTCTACGAAATTGTTTTGGTACACTAGCCTAGTTACCAAATACGTGTCATTTTTTTCAATTATTCTAGGGGGTGGGGGGCTTAGACTTTACAAAATTTGATTGATGTGCTCCTCTTCAAATTCTTCTCAATAACGTGTTATCCATTAAGATGACATTCTATTTTTAATTACAATTTGCCATAAAATTACATGTGCATGGTATTTGAAGCCACTGAACCACATTTACAGTACATTGATTAGTATTGTACTATTTCGATGCCACGTTTCAATTCTCAAAACTGAGCTTGATTACTTTAGATATCAGTTAGGTAACGTTTCATTTTTGGAAATGATTTGGGTAGTACTTAGGAAATTGGCAGCTCACGTTTCGAAATTTTATTTTCGTGTTTTGTCTCCCAGATAGTGCAAATGCTAATCCACGACAGATCAATTTTAACTTTCCGGTCTTTAAACAAGAAAGTTCGGTCCTGCTGTTTCAAATCGTTTTTTTTCTTTAAATAATCGAGAAGACGAAGTGGTGTGGATGATAGTTATTAAGCAGCTTGCAGCAGAGAAGAGATTTTTTAAAATTTTGAGTCAGTCGAACATTAGAAAGGGTGTTCACTGAAGTTGAATCGATCGACCGATTTATTGCTAAATCTATTCAACTCAAAATTCCTCAAATTAACCCAAGTCTTTTTTTAATTTACCCAACGTCCAATTTGGAGTTAGATTGTTGTTTGGGTCACAAGTGTGCTAGAAGTAGGCTTTTATCTATACGACGTATCAAAATATGAAATATGAGTTTGGCACGGTAGTAATAATGAGTTCAGTTAACATTACACTGACTCGTTTAAATTCCGAGCTTGAGATATTGATGATACGAGGGGCGTGCAGTTAGCCAGTCTCTGGGATCGAATATCAGGTGCGAAAGCTAATTTTAGCATTCTATGAAAGGAATCGGACCATTAATCTCAGATGTGTCAACGCTGAACCACTTTTAATGCTTGTGCTCATTGACCAACATTATTCCGAATTTAAACTTACACTGTCGTTTTTTGACAGTTGAATATTTGCTGCTATCCGTCCAGTTTTAATAGTTTTCAGGTTGGAACCCTTTCTGTGTCATTTCACTTCGACCAAATGGATTATTCATGTACATTTATGAGTGTAAAATCGCCTTTAATTGGTTAGTGCCCTATACCAAACACCTGCCAAACTAGTTTGCAAATTCAACTCCATTATGAATCGTATTAGCCTCAAAAGCAATGCTCTGTTTTAAAATCCTCTTTTTGAGTAGCATGAAATTGAAATAGATTTGAAGCCTGAGAATGCTTAAGACCGACGTAAGATTATTATCTTAATTCGTTGAAAGTAGGGCAAATTTTTGAAAGAGGAGAAAACTTTGAGGATAAGGCATTAAAAGTAAGAGATAAAGCTATCTTAAATTCCTACTACAGGCAAAACTGAAACAACAAAGGATCTGGGTAGAGCGCTAGGAATAATGGTATACGTCTTCAACTGTTCAGAGCAAATGGATTACAAATCCGTTGGAAATATCTATAAAGGTCTGGCCCAATCTGGTGCTTGGGGCTGCTTTGACGAATTCAATCGCATTTCCGTTGATGTGCTCTCCGTAGTAGCCGTCCAAGTAAAGAGCATTCAAGACGCTATCAAAGACAAATGCAAGAAATTCAACTTTCTCGGAGAGGAGATCACTCTCAACCCAGACGTGGGCATTTTCATCACTATGAATCCTGGCTACGCAGGTCGTACAGAGCTGCCGGAGAATCTAAAAGCTCTCTTTCGTCCTTGTGCCATGGTTGTACCGGATTTTGAGCTCATTTGCGAGATCATGCTTGTTGCAGAAGGATTTACTGAAGCTCGACTCTTAGCTCGCAAATTTATAACCCTTTATAGTCTAACTAAGGAGCTACTTTCTAAACAGGATCATTATGACTGGGGTCTACGAGCTATCAAATCAGTTCTAGTGGTTGCAGGTTCCCTCAAAAGAAGTGATCCAACGCGTCCAGAGAAAGAGGTTCTTATGCGAGCTCTTCGCGATTTCAATATTCCGAAAATTGTAACCGATGATGTACCTGTTTTCATGGGTCTTATAACCGATCTCTTTCCTGCCATGGATGTTCCTAGAAGGAGAGACCTAGTATTCGAAGAGCAAGTACGAAAGGCTGCCATAGATTTGAAGCTTCAACCAGAGGACAATTTCATTCTTAAAGCAGTTCAGCTACAAGAGTTATTTGCTGTTCGACATTCGGTATTCATTATGGGCAATGCTGGTACTGGCAAATCTATGGTTTGGAGAGTTCTATTTAGAACCAATCAAAATATGAAAAAGAAGCCTGTGGTAGTCGATTTAGATCCAAAAGCAGTAACAAATGATGAACTCTTTGGTATTATTAATCCAGCGACAAGAGAATGGAAGGATGGCTTGTTTTCTGTGGTGATGAGAGATTTATCCAAACTGACACACGATGGACCAAAGTGGATAATATTAGATGGTGATATCGATCCTATGTGGATTGAATCGCTGAATACTGTGATGGACGATAACAAGGTCCTTACTCTCGCAAGTAATGAGCGAATTCCTCTCACGTCAACAATGCGTTTGGTATTTGAAATCAGTCATCTGAAAACCGCTACACCTGCAACCGTTTCAAGAGCTGGAATACTTTACGTCAATCCTCAGGCAAGTATCGAATCTTATTTTTTATGCGATTTATTGTGTAGGATCTTGGCTGGGGACCATATATTTATTCATGGTTGGCTGCTCGTGATAATCGTTCTGAACAAGCAAATTTGAGTATCCTCTTCGAAACTTATGTACCAGTCTGTCTAGAAGCTCTGCGAACAAGATTCAAATTGGCAGTCCCTCTGGTTGAATTGGGTCATGTACAGACATTGTGCCACCTACTTGAAGTTCACTTGACCCCTATTAACACTCCTCCAGATACTCCCAAGGAAGTCGTTGAAACATTCTTTGTCTTTTGTGCCATTTGGGCCTTTGGAGGCGCTTTAGTACAGGACCAGATTATCGATTATCGAACAGAGTTCTCTAAATGGTGGTTGGAAGAATTCAAGGCTGTGAAATTTCCTACGTCAACATATGGTGGTAGTGTTTTTGATTTCTATATTGACCCTGTGAGTAAGAAGTTTGAACCTTGGAGTAAGAAAGTAGAACAATTTATCTTGGATACGAATGAACCACTTCAGGTATATCAGTCGTATATATAACCATAGAACTTATTGGAAATGTTTTTCATATAGACAGCACTAGTGTCTACTCCTGAAACTGCTCGTATTCGATACTTCCTTGACCTTCTAATTGCCGCTCGTTATCCGGTAATGTTAGTGGGAGCAGCTGGGACTGGAAAGAGTGTTTTAATTCAAGATCTACTTCGAAATCTTGGAGAGGATTTTGTAGTAGTTAATGTGCCTTTGAACTACTATACAACTAGTGAAATGCTTCAACGTGTGTTAGAGAAACAGTTGGAGAAGAAAACCGGTCGATCATATGGACCACCAGGAAATAAACGTCTAGTCTACTTTATCGATGACCTCAATATGCCTGAGGTTGATGCCTACTTTACAGTTCAACCTCACACTCTGATCCGACAACATATCGATCACTCTCACTGGTATGATCGGACGAAGTTAACTCTGAAAGAGATTACGGATGCTCAATATGTGACTTGCATGAATCCAACCGCAGGAAGCTTCACGATCGACTCCCGATTACAGGTATACTTCAAATTACTTTAGTATTTATGTGCTTATTTCTTTTTTTAGAGACACTTTGCCATTTTCAACTTAAGTTTTCCAGGTCGAGAAGCTGTTCACTCGATCTATTATTCCATTTTATCACAACATCTTGAATTGCCGGCTGCTGGTTTTCCTTCTGCTGTCCAACGCCTGGCATCAAGCATTACTGATTTAGCTATTGATTTCCATTCGAAAGTGACGTCCACCTTTCTACCTACTGCTGTGAAGTTCCACTACGTTTTCAATCTTCGAGATCTCACGAACGTATTTCAGGTAGAATTTCAGTTTATGTAACGGAAACTTGGAACTGCTAATCACTAATCAAATGACATTTTTCCCTATTAGGGTCTCCTATTCTCTAAAAATGAGTGTTTGAAGACCCCGATAGATTTTATTCGCTTATGGATTCACGAAACAGAACGTGTTTATGCTGACAAATTAGTTGACTCTACAGACCAAACAGTATTCAATAAACTAATCCGTGACTTTGTTGTCAAGCAATTCACAGACGTGACTATTGAGGAAGATGTCATATTTGCGGAACCTCTCCTTTACTGTCATTTCATTCAAGGATTTGGTGATCCTCGCTATCTTCCCGTTGAATCGAAAACAAGTCTTGCGAAACTTCTCGATGATGCTTTAAATAATTATAATGAGATGAATGCGGCAATGCATTTAGCTTTGTTTGAAGATGCTATTCAGCATATTCTACGAATTGATCGCATTCTAGAATCTCCAAGAGGAAATGCTCTACTTATTGGAATAGGTGGTTCTGGAAAGCAGTCCCTTTCTCGTCTTGCTGCTTTCATAAGTTCTCTTGAAGTCTTCCAAATTGTGGCTAAGAAAGGCTATTCAGTCAGCGATCTAAAAGCTGATTTAGCTCTTCTCTATCGTAAATCTGGGCTTAAAAATGTAGGCACTGTCCTCCTTCTAACTGATGCCCAAATTCTAGACGAAAAGTTCCTCGTTGTGATTAATGACCTCTTGGCTTCCGGAGATATTCCCGATCTTTTTGCAGACGATGAGATGGAAGAGATTATTTCTGCTGTTCAATCTGAGACTAAAGCAGCAGGTATTCTGAATACTCGAGAGAATTGTTGGCAATTCTTTATTAACAAAGTTAGACGAAACCTTAAGGTGGTTCTCTGTTTCTCTCCCGTTGGTCCGAAGCTTCGAATTCGTTCCAGACGTTTCCCAGCTCTTGTGAACTGTACTAGCATTGACTGGTTCCATGAATGGCCTGAAGAGGCTTTACTTTCTGTTGCGAAACTATTTGTTTCTGAAATTGAGTTGCTTGATCCTTCATTACATGAGCCAGTATCAACATTCATGTCGCACATACATCGGACAGTGAATGATATCAGCAAGGACTACTTAGCTAATGAGAGACGCTACAACTATACCACTCCAAAGTCATTCCTCGAGCAGATTCATCTCTATAAAAGTATGTTAAATAAACGAGATCAAGAGATAAAGGGCAAAATAACACGCTTAGAGAACGGTCTTGAGAAGTTAGGAAGTACCGCCCAGCAAGTTGATGATCTGAAAGCAAGACTCGCCAGCCAGGAAGTTGAGTTAGGTCAAAAAAATGAAGATGCCAACAAGCTCTTAGCCATCGTCAGTGCAGAGACTGATAAAGTGGTTGCTGAAAAGGCTGTAGCCGATGAAGAAGAGAAAAGAGTGGCAAAGATTCGCGCAGAAGTTTCTGTAAAGCAGCGAGAATGTGAGGCAGATTTAGCGAAAGCCGAACCAGCTCTTCTAGCAGCCCAAGAAGCTTTAAATACTTTGAATAAGAATAATCTCACAGAAATGAAATCATTTGGAACACCACCACCGGCCGTTGTAAAAGTTGTAGCTGCAGTTTCCTGCCTCTTGGCCCCTCGAGGAAAAGTTCCCAAAGATCGAAGTTGGAAGGCTGCTAAAGCTGGAATGATGGGAAAGATAGACCAATTTCTTGATAATTTAATTAACTACGACAAGGAAAACATGCACGAAAACTCTCTTAAGGCTGTTGCGGAATATCTTAAAGATCCCGAATTTGACCCGAAATTTGTTCGCAGTAAATCACTGGCTGCCGCTGGGCTTTGTTCTTGGGTTATAAATATTGTAAAATTTCATGAAGTTTTTTGTGTCGTTAAGCCTAAACGAGATGCCCTAGATGAAGCTAACAAGGAGCTCCAAAGTGCCACAGATGCACTTATTGGAATCCGAGAAAAGATAGCGCAATTGGAAGACAAGTTAGCTGAACTAACGGCCAATTTTGAAAACGCGAAAGTTGAAAAACAGAAATGCCAAGACGAAGCAGATAACACGAAAAGGACTATTGATTTGGCTAATCGTCTCGTAGGTGGACTCGCCTCCGAAAAGCTCCGTTGGTCGCAACAAATTGAGGAACACAAGGCTCACGCCTCGTGTCTTCCTGGGGATGTTCTTATAACAGCAGCATTTCTGTCCTATCTCGGTTACTTTACTAAAAAATATCGGTCTCATTTGTTGGAAAAATTATGGAAGCCGTGCTTAGATTCCCTTCAGCCTACAATTCCAATCACTGCTAATCTTGATCCACTAACTTTATTAGTTGATGATGCTCTGGTAGCTAAATGGAACAATGAGGGTCTGCCAAGTGATCAATTCTCGGTTGAAAATGCTGCCATCGTAATCGCTGCTGAAAGATGGCCACTTATTGTCGATCCTCAACTTCAGGGCTTAAAATGGATCAAAACACGCTATGGAGAAGATCTAAAGTCCATTCGTTTGGGTCAGAAGGGATACCTAGATTTAATTGAACGTGCAGTTTCTATTGGCGAAACTGTACTAATTGAAAATATTGATTTAGCTATCGATCCAATCCTTGAACCTCTAATTAGTAGGAATACAATCAAACGAGGAACAGCAATTCGGTTGGGAGGAAAGGAAATAGATTATAATCCAAACTTTAAGCTAATTTTGCAAACTAAATTATCGAATCCTCACTATGCACCCGAGTTGCAGGCTCAAACCACCTTGATTAATTTTACAGTTACTCGTGATGGTCTTGAGGATCAATTGCTGGCAAATATTGTACGTATAGAAAGGCCCGACTTAGAGACTTTGAGATCAGACCTTACTAGGCAGCAGAATGAATTCAAAATTACCTTGAAAACCCTCGAGGATGCTCTCTTGGCCAAATTATCGGAAGCTGAGGGCAATTTCCTGGGTGATTATGCTTTGGTTGAGAATCTTGAGACTAATAAACGAACTGCTGCTGAAATTCAAGATAAAGTTGTGCAAGCAAAGGTAACGGAAGAGCAGATAAACACAGCGCGAGAAATCTACCGACCTGCTTGTGTCCGAGCTGCAATGCTCTATTTCATCATTAGTGATTTGAGCAAAATCAATCCAATGTACCAGTTTTCTCTCAAAGCGTTTGGTTTTGTCTTTGATACTGCTATGAATCGCGCTAATTCATCTGACGACGTCAAAGTTCGTGTCAGAAATATCATCGACTCAGTGACGTATTCTGTATACATCTACACATCTAGAGGTCTTTTTGAAAAGGATAAACTTCTTTTTACAGCTCAGGTTGCTTTTCGAATCTGCCAAGCTCGAGGAGAAGTAGACTTTCAAGAGTTGGATTACCTCCTGCGTTTTCCCATAACACCGAATGTGACTAGTCCAGTCGATTTCATCACAAATATTGGCTGGGGTGCAATCAAGTCTTTAACAACCTTGGAAACTTTTAGCAACCTTGACTCAGATATCGAAGGATCTGCTAAACGTTGGAAGAAGATTGTAGATAGCGAAAAGCCAGAAAATGAACAACTTCCGCAGGATTGGAAGAATAAGTCGAATTTGCAACGCCTGTGCATTCTTCGTGCATTAAGACCAGATCGAATGCTTCATGCAGTAAGAAATTTTGTTTCCGCAAATCTTGGCAAAGTTTATATTGAGGGAAGCAGCCTGCCCTTTGCCGAATCTTTTAAGGAGTCGGGACCAGCAACACCGATTTTCTTCATCCTTTCACCAGGTGTGGACCCGTTGAAGGACGTTGAAGCTCTTGGAAGACAGTTGGGCTTCACAAGCGAAAAAAGAAATTTCCACAACATCTCTCTAGGCCAGGGTCAGGAGGTTATTGCTGAAGAAGCTATGCAACTGTCAGCCAGAGAAGGACACTGGATTATTCTTCAAAATGTTCATCTTGTTGCGAAATGGCTTCCAACTTTTGAGAAGCATTTAGAAGAGTTAATGGAGGGGGCGCACAAAGATTATCGGGTATTCATAAGTGCTGAACCTGACAATTCACCGGAATCTCATGTTATTCCACAAGGAGTGCTAGAGAACTCCATTAAGATTACAAATGAACCTCCAACTGGTATGCTGGCAAATATTCACAGGGCTCTTGGAAATATCTCCCAAGTAACTCTGGAGATGTGTACTAAGAAGAATGAATTCAAAATGATCCTATTTACTCTCTGCTACTTTCATGCTGCAGTTTGTGAACGGAGGAAGTTCGGCCCGCAGGGGTGGAATCGCATCTACCCCTTCAACAATGGTGACTTGACTATCAGTATCGATGTATTGTACAATTATCTTGAGGTAAATAATGAGGTCCCTTGGGAAGGGCTTCGTTACTTATTTGGTGACATAATGTATGGTGGGCATATAACTGATGACTGGGACCGACGACTCTGTAAGACTTATTTGGAAGACTATTTAGCCAAAAGTATGTTAGATGGAGATCACCTCTTAGCGCCAGGATTTAAAGTTCCTCCAAATTCAGACTTGCATGGCTATCATAAGTATGTGGATGAAAAACTTCCTCCAGAATCACCCTATCTCTATGGCATGCATCCAAATGCTGAGATTGGTACTCTAACAGTCGAGTCCGAAAAGCTCTTCAGTCGACTACTTGATATGATGCCTAGAGAAGGTGCTGAGGGAGATCAAGAAGGAAGCACCGCAGAGAGCAAGGTTCAAGCAATTCTTGATGATTTTCTTGGAAGACTTCCGGAGCTTTTTAACATGCAAGATATTCAATCTCGAGTTCCGCCTGAAGAAAGAACACCATTTGCAGTTGTTGCTCTTCAAGAATGTCATCGTATGAATATTTTAATCAGGGAGATTTCACGCTCTCTTAAAGAGCTGTCCCTAGGATTGAAAGGTGAGTTAACCATCAGTGCTGAAATGGACGTTCTGCAGAGTGCTTTGTTCTTTGATACAGTTCCGAATTCTTGGACAGCTAAGGCTTATCCCAGCCTTTATTCTCTTGGACTCTGGTATGCGGATTTGATTGTTCGTGCCAGAGAACTTGAGATATGGGTGACTGACTTTTCATCTCTACCGAGTGCTATTTGGCTTGGTGGATTATTTAATCCACAGTCCTTCCTTACTGCTATAATGCAACAAATGGCAAGGAAGAATGAATGGCCGTTGGATAGAATGACGTTGAGTGTGGAAGTAACGAGAAAGCTACTTCGAGAAGAATTAACTGGACCCCCTAGAGATGGAGCTTATGTCCATGCGTTGTATGTAGAAGGGGCTAGGTGGGACATCCAAGCTGGCATTTTAGCAGAATCGAAACCAAGAGAGTTGGTCGCTGCCCTACCGATTGCATTAATCAAAGCGGTGCCTGTAGACAAAGCAAACATTCGAGGAACTTACGCCTGTCCTGTCTATAAAACAAAAAGTCGAGGACCCACTTACGTATGGACATTTAATCTGGCAACGAAAGCGAGACCTGCGAAATGGGTGCTTGGCGGTGTGGCTATCATCCTTCAAGTTTAAGTGCGCCGGCGATTTTCACACATAAATTCTACTTATAACTATCAAGTAATATTTATTCTAGTAATAAAATTATTGGGAATAAATTCGTCTGTTTATATAAATGTCGAGTCTAGTAGGTCACTGAAATCGTCACATGCAAATTCTTCTACCGTATAATTCCTTGCGAATATTTTGAAATGGTTAAGGGAGCTTCTCCTGTTGTGCTTATTCACGGGTTATAAAGGGATAAGCATAAGATTATGGCGCTAAAAAGACTAGGAAATGGGTAGCACGTCAGTAATATAGTATTTTAACCCATTAACATACGAATTACGTTTTGAAAAATGTACTCACGTGTGTACTCCGACGTGATGAGTTTTGTTGGTATCAGGCGAAGGCTATGGACATGTATTGAACATGGTTCAAACGGTAATAGCGTCTTCTATTAGGAGTCTAGTTCCAGTGGAGCTTATTTTGAAAGAGGGCCATACAGTCCTAAGGGCGTTAAAGGGTTAAAAGGGATTAACCAGGAATAGACATGATAAATGGGAAGGTAAGTGGGAGAAATTGCAAATGAAAAGAAGTTGAAGGTATTAGTTTAGGTTGAACTCAGACCGTTATGTGATTTAGAGCTTAGATTGCTTAAACTCCGATGGAGAACTTCATGAAACGTTTAGGAGTTTACCCATAACAATGAGAATGTCATAATCATAATTTCGATGTCTAGTGATCACTTGTGCAGCCCAAGTAGTCTGATATAGGCATGCCGATGTATGCCTTGTCTTGCAATAAGCCTTTCCTGAATGATATGGAATTCTGTTACCCGGATCTATATTACACCCAGTCATTTCCTAAGTTTATTTTATATCAGAAAATATATATTTCATATTATTATTCGCAACAAAAGTCGTGGAACTTAGTTAGCTTTGGTTTACCTTGTTCCAAAAGTGGGATTCCAAGTGGCGACTCTGGAATACCTATTTACTTTTCTATTTGAACTTTTACCCCTTAAGGAAACATTTGAATACAAAGAGATAGTAAGCAATTCAGTTTTAAATCAGTGGAAAGTAGAAGGACGAATTTGAAAATGAGGTAAGCATTATTCATCTAAATATAGGTGTCCTCAAACTTCATGACTGGTCTCTTCAACATTTCATCAGGACAGTCAGCCAGTTAATTTCAGTTATTCCTAATGAATGTCCACTTATTTCACTTCTATTTGCAAAGGAGAGAGTCTTCAATGCATTGTTCCATTATGGCTTCTTTCGTAGTGTACAATTTAGCAAAAAAATGATCCAGCCCATGAATTGTCCAACCATGGTCTTTCCTACAGAGATGTGTGCTCATTAACTCTTTTATGGTGAAGTGCACAGCTCAAAGTATTTGTGTTCTAACTGCTGGATATAACTGAATTAATAATGAAAATTATTTATTTCAATTTTTAAATTCTTTGAATTATACCATGTAGAAATTATGGCATATGAGATGACTACACCTCCCCAATCGCATGCCCTTTAAATACCTTAAGGATAAATTGGTATTAAACCAATTTAAAAATTTGACCTTGATCCTAGGAAATGAATCACTTGACCAACCTCCCTTGTGACACTCCCTCTTGAGAAAGATTGACCTCTCACTTAGGCGTAACTTACACATTATCTGCAAAATGTGGATTGGAAAAAGCATTTAATCAATAATTTGAATGAACAGTTATAAGTAAATTCCTCACCAAATCAAATGTTGCGTCAGTGGAGCGATTTGGGCTAAGAAGGGGTGATTTTCAAGATTCAAGCTACAGAGGATTTCGAAGTTAACTATGAAATTTAATTATTTTGATTCTGAAGTGAACAGCTCCCACATGAATCCGACTGTGTAAAACGACATTCTGTTTGTAAGGTTTTCATTGCATGAGTATTTAAAGCCTAGCCTCCATTGTAAAGATGTCTGCAAGGGATTTCCCGTTATTGGTTCTCAAAAAATTGGCATTTGCGAACATATGTTGTAATTCTGCTTTTCATTGACCGGTATAACTCTGTCTTAGCGTAGAAGACAATTTCAAAAGACTGGATAATAGAGCCGCTCCAGAGCTCGTTTTTGTCATTGGCTACGAATTGCCACTAGTACATTTAAGTTTTCCTTTTATTGATTACAAAGTGAAGCTTTCTATCCCTCATCATTTAGCAGTTTTCGTCCATCACACGAATTAAGAAAGTCAAAAATGAGGTTTTGTTTGTGGGGCCTTGTTACTGGGCCTGGAAAGGTGAAATGTTTTCTTTTGCAAGGTGGGGGGAGGGGGGGGAGGGAAGGGGAGGAAGGAGGGTGCAAAGCAATAGCTGACAGACTGGAAGACGAAGACGTGTCGTTCATCCCCTGACTTCTAGCCCTTGATACATCGACTTCTCGGCCGTGCGGTTTCTCTCATAGTCCAAGTCTGTCCTCAGAGGACATATCAGAGGATTTTCCATTAAAAATATATGAAATGCAATTAAATGCAATTACGAAAAGATATAAAGTTTATAAGTCAAAATAAATATCTACCACCCGAATTAGCCATATCTAGTTTGAGAAGACACCTCTTATTTTAAATGAGGATTTAATAGAATGAAGTTCATTTGATCTAATGAATGTCACCAATAATGGTTTGTAGAGGGTTACAGTGAAAGAGAAAGCATTGAAGATTAAGGTAAACGTTCTGAAATTCAAATAATTTCCACTTCAACACCTGTGATTGCGGTTTCATTAGCCTCTGAGTCATCCTCATCTAATATACACAGTCTTAAAGACAGTAGGGTGTGAAATTGTAGTGGAAGCAAATTGATCTTTAAAGTTGATCATGCTCCCATGATTATTGGCCCGTCTTCATTACCCTTGGTCGTAATTAACGCACATTGGTCTTTGTTTTTGAGCAGAATAGCTAAATCGGATAGATATGTGTCCATCTACCTCAGGAGAAGTCCATCGTAACCAGTGAAGTGCATAGTTGTCGGCGCTATGAGAATATCAATGGAAAAGAAAATGATGTGTTAGTTCAATTGACAGGGTTACTGTTCCAAGGGAGAAATGGACATTACCAATGTCAATATTAGCAGAGGGTCATTTTAACAGCAGAAGAATAAAGCTCGAACCTCTCGGACTTGACATTCCTATCCAAAAAATGAGATTTCGTTCACCAATCTGACTGACTTATTTACGAAATTCGATTTTGGAACGCTGGAACTGCTCATGTAATTAAGTATTGTGAAAAAGGAAATGAAAAAAACCTGGCTGCATTTTCAAAATCCGGTTGGTTAATCTTTTTCGGCCCCATTGGACTGAAAAATTGTGAGTTGTTGCTTGTCTCGAGATACATTAAAATACGATAGAAAGCCCCCGTTATTCTTTGTATAAACTGCGCCATGAATCCAATATTCTACTACGCTTTTCCTTAAGACCAACTCCAGATTTACGTGTCTTTGACTTAGGACCACGGCCTCTTTCGTAATTGAAAAATAAGTCCAATTGACAAAAAAAAGGATTTCAATTTTAGTACCCTACTTACTTGCATCAATACTTCTTCTGGGCCATTAGGTACCATGAAACGCATAAAGAACTCAATTATTCCTCGCAAATCTTGCACTTTCCACTTTATTAAAACAGAAATACTCAACAAAGTGAATTGTAATCACCAAATAAGGTAGCTTTAGCAGAGAGAGAGGAATACGTTTAACCCTCTCTGCCAAGGGGGTTACAAACGCAAACGCTTTCTTGATGCCGAATACCAGATCCATTGGTCCTTTCTTTAAGGAAAAGGTTAGTCTAAACATAATATAGTGGAACATCATTCTCAAGGTCTCACGTCAGAGATCAGCTGCACAATTTCCCGAGATGATGGGTGAAGAAAGTTTACTTTTATTATTATATCAAATGGCAGGCGTTTTGATTGTTATCATTAGCCCTTTAGTTGACTTCAGTCTTCACAGAGGGGAAGGAACATCAAAGTGTAAAAAATTCAAGAGGGGGAGAGGGACAGAAGAGTGTTTCAAAGACGAAGGTAGATAAGGTGGAAAAAAAGTGGGATGAGTACTGTGAAAGTAGACGAATATGGCATACATTGGGGTCATGGTAGTTTGAAGTCAACTGCCAGGTAATAGACTTTTCGCCGTATGAGTATACGTTACCCAGGGTGCACCACGTGGAGGTAAGTCTA